ATGTGTGTTTCCTTTAGAGAGACAGAGCACTTTTAACAATCAAAGTCATATTGCAGGAACAAGGATGCAATAACTGCAGGGACTGGCAGTTTGTGCGGTAAATCTCCTGCGTGACTGTACAGCAGTAATTACAATGTGAAAGTAATAACTGAGCTGTGCTGAGCGTAAGGCCAACTCCCCCAGCTTTCATAGGATAGCATGTTTCTCACTGGGAGGCTCCTGTTTGTTAAATTAGATATTGTGCTGTATTTCAGAAAAGGTCACATTTAACCGACGCTGCTTCTGTTTTATTATTTTGGTATGACAGTGTAACCTCCACTGGCTCCCTGCTGGATTTCACATTCAGCTCTGCTTTGGCTGCCCGATTCTGTGCTTCTTGCCTCTATGATTATGTTAATGACAGACTGTGCTCTTTTCATTTATTGAGACATTAAAAGATGTGCAGGTTTATTTTACCATGTTCATAATTGCAATAAAAATAGGACAACATGAAGGAGAGAAAACATTGGAAGGGGATAGAGCTGCAGCTGAATAGGCTGAACTTCAGGAAAGTTGAAATCTTGTTATTATGGGACAGTAATTTTTGTCTTTTAGGTTGCTTTATTATTAAGATGGTCCCTTCAGGCCTCAGGCAAGATGTGGGATTGTGTGAAGGATGGGGCATGGCCTGGGGAAAGGGAGGAATAGCACTGCCATGTTAGAAGTCTCCTTCAGAAAACCTGCATAGCATAGTATGGTGATCCAGCCCCTGTGCTGGGATATGCCTGTGTGACTCCCATAAGGATTGCACTGAGAGCAAATTTTGATCCTTAAGCGATCAGGGTATTCCACCTGTCTGCTAGTATTTGGTGCCCATGTTTTCATGTGCTGATTGGGGGACTGACAGAGCTCTCTTGGTAATGCCTAATGCTGTCTGGCTGCTTCCCCATATCATGGCTGCTGGGGGGGGTGTGAAGCTTCAGTCACTGATTTGATTTGGAGGAGATTTGGCCCAACTCAGTGGCCAAATCTCCGAATCTGAATTGAATCAGGAGACTCACTAATCTCTTTGAATCACATTGTAAGCCTCCACATCAGTTCGGAGAGATTTGACGATTCAGCCGTAGACACAGTTTTATATGTTTTTTTTCTATGTACCTTCAAAGTACTTCCGGCCCACTTCTGGGTCTGCTGCTGAGCATGTGGAGGACCCCCCATGCTCCCGTGGGATACTCCATCTGCCCCACCATCTCAGCATTCATGAGCCGTACCTGGTACCTTGAGGTACATAGAAAAAATATATAAAGCTGTGTCTATGGCTGAATCTCTGATTCTCTGAATCAGAATCGATTCTTGAGATTCAGATTTGGCTGAATCAAATTGGGACAGTGATCCAAATCCGCGAATCGAATCACTGTTCCCTGAATTGGGCCAAATCCAATTTGAATACTGCCTAATTCGCACACCCCTAATGGCTGCTCCCCATTACTTTCTCTGCCATGTGGGTGGTGTGGCAGGAAGTCACCTTTGTTTCTCCCCAAAATCTTGGCTCTGTGACAATTTGATTAGGATGGGTCCAGCAGAGGAGACACACCTTTACCCTATCTCTTTAGGTAACCTGAGATGGACACATTCTTGAGGGAGGGGGGGAAACCTGCTCCCTCTGCCTATGTGACTGGTATCAGCTACCTGGGTGAGGGGCTTCTACCTGGTGGGCTAGAGTCTGCCTGGCAACTAGTGATGCATTTCAAATTGGTTGGCTGGCAGCCAACAGGTGCTGGCCTCCATTGGACCAGGTGAATGAGGTCACAGGGGCTATATAAGTTAAGACTACCCAGGAGGTGGGGGTGGCAGCAGCCATGCAGGGGACTCAGAGAGGAGCTTTACCATCTGAAACTGGCTCTCTCCTGCAAATCTCATGAGCGAGGAATGGCCTGCCTCCAGAGGGAATCTCCAACAGCCTCTGGATGATGCTTGTGAGTAAGCTACTCGAGATCTGGTTAGATATCTAGCTGGCAGTAACTCAGATGCGTGATCAAAAGGCTACCTCAGCCAGACTGTTTTGCTCTATGGGATTTCTATGAGATCGCTCTATCCTGTACCCTATTTTCACTCTACCCCTGTAATCAATAAAGTTCTCCTTTGTGACCAGTGTAGAAGACTTATTGAGGGGTGGGTCTAAATTATGTCTAAGAGGCCCCTTAGGTCTGTGGACTAAGGGAGACTTTCCTTTTTGGCCCCCGACTTGGGGAAGTGCCCCAAGTGCCTGTACTGGGTTGAGTACCCATAGGACTATTAGGCCTGTGTTTCCCCGAGGACACAGGGCCGAGAGAGTCCCTTCTCGGGGTGGTGGCAGCTTATGTTACCCCCAGGCTAGCGAGTGTGCTCCAGGAAGGGGGTCAACCGGATGCAAGGCACCCCTAGGGAGGCACTTGGAGCCTGGAAGGTGGTTGGGCGCAGTGAGGTGGGTGGCTCAACACAGGAGCGCCCCCTACTGGCTTGCCACAGGTGGTATGTAGTGTACTGCTAGGTGGAGAGCATGGGATGAAGCCAAAAGCTGGTCAAGGGGCACCTGTAGAATACTGCTGTCATGAGGGTGGCGCAAGGAGAGTGCATGACACCAGATCCTAGGTGCCACTTACAGTCTATGACTTTCCTGATTAATGGAGGGAGAAGGACAGAGAAGGAAAAAGATACATGTATGGAAGAAGGAGACTCAAGTCTTTTCAATGTCTCAAGTGCAGGCAGAAGGCAAGGTAGATTTCCCTTTAGATTAGATTTTCCACAGCATCTGATGAAGTAAACTGTCTGCTAATGAAAGCTTATGCTATTCATTTGATTTATGCAGTTTGTACGGATGCAAATCTATCCTGCCTTCTGTCTGATTCCAGACTAACACAACTACCCTTCTCTCTTAAGTGAAGGACAGACTCTAGGATCAGCTGATACCTTGTAATTAACAGAAGCGTTGACATGCGTGGAGATGGCTAGCTAGAAGAGCCTCTTGTCTGTCCCCCTGCTCTTCATGACAAACTGTTTCCCATTATGAATCTTTTGTCCAGCTCAAGTTTTAAACAGCTCGAGCAATGCAGGTTCCTTCGCTTTCCTTGGGAAGTTATTCCTCTTCCCGATAAGCTGTGAGAATAAGCCTTCTCCTCTACTTCCCCTTTTTTGTTCTGGTTATTCTGTACCTGCTGTTATAAAACCTGGAAAGAGTGGGATTTTTAATGCAAAGTGAAATGATGTTTTACATATGGACCTTGTTAGTGGGTTTGGTTGCAAGCACCGTGTTTTATACCCAATGATTTTCTCCCCTTCTTTTGCTTCCATTCCAGTACCAGTCATTGCTTGCTTTTGTATTAGAAATAAAGCCAGATATCTCTGCTAACTGGTGTTTGATTAAATGATTTAAAACAAAGCAGAGTGCCCACTTTAAATTCTCCAGGAGGGGATTACCTTGCTGACATTTACATATCTATGCAATAAATATTTTAACATGTTAATTATACACTAATAAGAAAAATAACTTTTGAACTTTCAGTCAAATTGACACACACAGAACTGGGTCCATCAGGGAATTGAAAGCAATTAGTTTTTGTAACAGACTGTGGTCACATTGTTTCTTTTCTGCAAATTATTCTGTGGTCACCAGCAAGCCTTATCCTGTCAAGTGCTTAGGCATGCATCAGATGTATTTCTCATCTTCAAATGGGGTAAATCCAACCTTGTGTGTGCAAATCCCAGGGAAGTTGAATGGGAATATAGTTGGAGTAAGGCTACAGGGCTTCATCAGGGTAATTGGACAAGTATGGAAAACCCATTCTCCTTACCTTACACATTTCTAATAATGGTTATAGTGTTATATAAACTCCTTACCTAGGGACAGACATTACACATAAACCAGTATAAGTGATCAGAAACTGGTTCAAATCTGTAACACAACAGAAATTCAGTGCACATAAACCACTGTCAAAATGGCTGAAACTGGTTTAAGATAAGCCTGGGTGGATGTAGGCTCAAAAATATTCAATTTAGATTAAATTGGTTTATTGAACTTCTGTCCCAGATCCCCTCCAGATTCAACTCAGTCTCCCAGCATCCCAGGATGCCCTGCCCCTCCCTTGCAACGCCCCCCTCACAGGGTGTTCAGGCTAGCCTTGGCCCAAGCTGTCTGCTCCAGCTAAGCAGGGAGGCATGCTCTAGTCTCCAGGGTTCTGACTTGGGCCACTGCAGGCATGTAGTTGCATTGCCAGAATCAAAAGTGATTCCGCCATCTGTTCATTTGCTTATCGGTTGAATCTATGCAGCATAGACTAACTTGCAAAGATTGAATTGATTCACCCTTGGGCTTTTTGACTGTCTATACTTGGCCCTCACGGACCTTCTCATGGTGTCCCCCCCCCCCCGTTCCTGTTTCATGGGTAAGAGAACTGAGGCATGGAAAGGACAATGTCAAAAATCTTCAGGAGTTCTGTGCACCTCTGGTGTAGAGTGCCCAGGTGGGTTTTGTGAGGGCAGGGTGCCGAGCAGGCCCACCTTCAAATGACTGCCATGGTAGTTGTGTGCTCAGCATTTCTGAAAATTAGGGGCCTTAATCTGGCCACTTAAAAACTGAGGCATTTGACATAAGTTGCTGGTTTCTGAAAACTGAGCAATTAGTGATTTGCCCAAGGCTACATGACACTGGAATATGTAGTTATTGTTGAAGACTAGGAAACCCTCACGTAGGCTGAGGCTTTGAGTAAGGACATGGCTTGGTGGGCAGTGCCCATTTGGATCTGCTACCAGGAATTGTTCACTAGAAGAGTCCCAGCCTGTATATGTGGTTTAAACCCCCATTAGCTGCAGTGGGAGCCTTACCTGAGTAAGGATTGCAGGGATGGGTGCAGACTGCCTTTGTTTTAGGTGCAGAATTTACTGTTCTCTTTGTCCTGAATACAATGCACCCTGCAAATGTGCCTGTTCCAGTTTTTAGATGAATCACACTTGTAACTATCTCCCTTTTCTTTTCCTCCTTTCAGACTGAAAACTACTCTTTTGATTCCAACTACGTTAACAGCAGAGCCCATTTAATAAAAAGGTACGTAGGTTTGCTGGAAAGTGCTTCATAACAAAATCCAAATGTAGTGTTCTTCCCCTCCTTCTTATATGCACCTTTTTTTAAATGCAAAATATTGCAGGAATAATCATTTGATTTTTTTTTTTTTTTTTAACAGTATTTACTTCCTATTAAATCCTATTACTCTTGCTTTTTCTTTTTAATAAAGGAAAGTCTTTTCTGTTCTGTTTGCCTCATTCACACTGGGAACTAGCAGTGATGTAAGCCAAAATGCTGTTACTCTGACAATTTTAAAATTCATAAAGTTTATTTTATTTGAATGAACAGGAATGAAATGATAGATCTGGATGGGGGAGTGCTTCCTGCCATGTGAGGCAGGGGGAAAAACAAATGTGTTTGGGGCAGGTCATTTGGTTTGATACTTGTTCCGTTTTTCAGTTTGAATATTAAAGGAAAACCAACATTTTGCTGTCTTTTTTTTTTTTTTGTTTGTTTCTTTTTAATCTTCCCATTGGTAAAACCAAATCATCAACCTAGTTCAAGGGTAGGCAATGTTTTTTGGCTGGAGTGCCAAAAAAACCACAATGCCTACCTTGGAAGGTGCCAGAGTGCTGACATGCCGGAGCCTGGAACAGCTGTTTGCAGCCTCCTGGCTGCAGCTGGCCCAAGGAGCCTGGTCTGCTTGCAGCAGGGCTTGCAGCCTCCCAGCTGCCTGCTGGGAGCAGCCTGGGGTCTGTAGCTGGCAGCAGCTGTTTAGAGCTGGGGCTGGCAGTGGTGTGCAGAGCAAAATGGCCTTGCATGCCATGCTTGGCATGCGTGCCAGGGGTTGCTGACCCCTGACCTAGTTTAATTCTAGCAATGGTGCATTTCACCTATTGGTAAATTCTGTCCTCACTGATATACTTAGAATTTGTCATTAAGAAAAGAAATGAGCCCAGTAAAGGAACATCTCTGTTATACCAGCTTAACCCCTGTTGCTTTGACTGGGTTGCGTTGAAGTAATTGAGTGGTGAATTTAGTTTATTGGAAAAAGACTAAAAGCGTTCATCCCTCCCATTCTGCTTTCAAGGCTATAAAGTAGGGGTGGGCAAAATACAGCCCATGGGCTGGATCTGGCCTGCCAAGGGATTTTTATCTGGCCTGTGACAAGTCCCTTGGCCCTGCCCGGTCCAGGTATGGGGGCAGTTTGAGCCGTGGCACATGTAGCTGATCCTGTAGTCCCCAGGCATGTGATGGGGAAGTGCAGCAACCACAGGCTATGCCCAGCAGCCACACTCTATGCTCAGCTGCCACTGCCGGTCCGCCCTGCATACACTGCCGGGGATGCTGGATGGAATGGTGGGTGGGCAGGGTATCCATGGAGATTGGCCGGGGACACCTGTAGTCAAGGCGTGCTCAGCTCGGTGGTTGGGATGGGGCCGTGGCTGGGTGTATGGGGAATGGCGTCCAGGAGAGGGATGGATAGGTGGGGGCTGGGGCCAGAGTTGGGATTGTGGGATGGTAACAGCATGGGACCAATGTGTGGGGCACAGCCAGGATCCATTCCCTTCACATTCCTGCAACAGATGCTGGTTCTGTGGGCAGGGACATGTGGGGAGTGGATTGCAGCTCTGCCCTGGGCCCTGGCCCTGTGCTGTCACCACCCTGGGATTTGGGCCCGCCCCTGCCCCTGCCTGGCTGTCCCACTCCTGGACGCTGCTCTGTGCCTGCTCACCCATGGCCCATCTCATCTGCCTGGCTGAGTGTGCCTTGCTGGTGGAGATCCTGGGCTGGTTTCCAAGGAGACCCTGCCCACTGGCTCTGTATGGCACCCCCCACCTGTGGGTGCAAGGTGGACAGCCTGGAACCGGATAGGACCAGCGGTGTCCCCCCGCCCCACACCACACTGGGTCAGCACCACCCCTGCTATAAAGGCTGGAGAGACAGCAGAAATAGCAGTGTGGCCACAATGCAAGGCAGGAAGGCTGCATTCCCTGCACATTGTGGAGCTGTGTTTTATAGAGATATACTTACTACATCCCAATTGCAAAATATGTTTAGATGTGTCATGACAGATGGAGCAATAGGGCTGTGCTTCCATCATCTGTGCCTTCACCCTCCCACACAGCCTAAGAAGTAATTTCTTTCTCTGGATCTTGGTGTTTAAGTAGGAAGAATTTAAAGATCAGGGTTCAAATTCTTCTGAGTTTTATGCTTGCAATCCTTTGAAGTCAATGGGGCAGCAAAGGAGTAATGGAGAGCAAAACTGGGCCGTGAACTGTTTAGATGTGATTCTAGTACTAGAGGAAATCCAATTATCTCACTGGCTAAAATCCCTTATGTCTTAAAAATATAGGGACTAAGGATGTTGTTACAAGTCATTGTCTTGGTTCAGCCAGTGAAGGGGAGGTCTATTTGTTTGCCTTGTTTGTGATATTTAAAAGTGGTAATGTGATTGCTGGAGAGAGGCGAGTTGCCTACCCCATGTCATGCCTCACAATATAGTCTGCAGGCATCCTTCTGAAAAACAGATCTATTAATCTTTTCTTCATACCTCGCATAAAGGCAAGCAGCGTTCCCAGCTCCCACAACACTATTTACTCCAATGCTGTATTGTTTGCGAAACGCTGTTACTGATGATTCTCAGGTACCTGCCCATCCTTTAGAAGTGGCAGCTGTGGGAACACGTTGTGTGGTTGTTGCATTATGGTCTGTTTCACTGCAGGAAAGATAAATGCATTGTAACATAGATTGCCTGCATGATGGGAGCAGCAACACGTTGTAGAACAATATTCTCCCTGCCCTTTCACCTTTACTTGTCTTGTATTTGAAGCACAATGAATGTCATAAATGCTGCACAGATATCGGAGAATAGGCATATCATCTTTTAAACACAGTGGCATAATTCTAATCCAAAAAACCCTTTGCTTTTGTGGACATGTTATAACTTCTCTGACTTTGCTATATGAACCTCCCAATATCTGTGATGTTAATTACTGCATTTATGCCTTTACTTTTTTGTCTTTTTCTCTCCTCTTTCATGCTTCTCTCATGCTTGTGTGCACCCATGCATATGCGTGCCCGCACACACATGCACACACACATTAATCCGCTGTTAATTTAAAATCCTATGATGTTGTCTGGAATCAAAGTCAGTGGCTTCAACAGGGACATCTTTATTTAAAAGGTAACGTTTGAAGATTTACCAATTTATATGTATTTTTACAGCTTCCCCCTTTTGTGCTTCTGCAAAGTGTTGGATGGGAGGTGGTCTATTTGGTTTCCGTGGAGACACAAAAGGCCTTTGCAAAGTAATGAAAATGTGTAATTCTTTAGTGCTTTGAAGCACAGGCCATTCCCAGTAATAAATGATTTCAGACAAAACCAAGCTAGCTCTAAAATCAGGGCCAGATAATCAACTGGTGTAAATCAGTGTAGCACCAAAAAAAGCCAGTGTTGATGTTCACCAGCTGACCATACGATTCTCTTGTTTCTTAGCTTTTTGGAAAAGCAACCCTGAAGGACATTGTGAAAAAACCTCCTAGGGAGTTAGCCCTGACAGAGATCCAAATGGCTTATGGAGATAGACTGTAAGCTTTATGGAGCAGGGTCCCTCTCTCCCACTCCGTACAGTGCCAAGCACAGTGGGGCCCCAATCCTGGTTGGTTTTTAGGCAGTATTGTAATTCAAATGGAAAACAATCAGATGGAGGGGATAATGTCCTTTTCTCCTTGGTCAAAATTTGGTTGGCCCAGGGGGCTGGAGAGTCATAGTTTCATAGATTTAGGGTCGGAAGGGACCTAGTAGATCTTCTAGCCCGACCCCCCGCCAGGGCGGGAGAACAACAAAACCCCAAAACAAAAAACGGGACTCAAATGAGTCCAGCCAGGTAGGCATTCAGCCTCTTCTTAAAGACCCCCAGGGTAGGGGCCAGCACCACTTCCCTTGGAAGTTGGTTCCAGCTCCTAGCCGCCCTAACTGTGAAGTAGTTTTTGCAGATGTCCAATCTATACCTCCTCTCCATCAACTTGTGCCCATTACTCCTTGTTATGCCAGCGGGCGCTAGGGGAAACAGCGTCTCCCCCAAACCCTTCTGGTCCCCCCTAGTGAGTTTATAGACAGTCACCAGGTCCCCCCTCAGCCTTCTCTTGTCAGTCCTCTCATCCTTGTCATGTACTAGCTTGCTTAGATTTTTATTCTCCTCTTTCTTCTGCTCAGGCATGCACTCCTTTTCCAGGTTGCCACTTTCTCTGTAGATGAAGTGTCTGCACATTTCATTTTGATCTATATCACCTTTTCCAGCAGTAACCAATTCATTTTCCATGTCACTGAAGCAGCTTCACCTTTTCTTGTTGCTTGTGGTGTTCTCCACATGTGAAGATGCATTTCAAGATGTTCTATGTATGACTTTAATCTGGTGTTTTAAGGTTCCATGTTTTACATCATTTCACTGCTCTTCCAAGTTTCTGGATTTGAGGGACTATAGAAGACCTTTTGTTGCAACCAACCTCAAGCTGTAAAAGAAAATCTCTAATCCCTCAGCTCCCTGGGATGCTTGTCACTTGTCACAGGAATTTCACCCTCACAGCTATTCTTGGGAAATCTTTCTGAGGCTGGTCCACCCCTCTAGCACTTCGTGCAGTAAGTTGTGTGTTCCCTTCCAATACATGTTGAAGGCAGTGAAGCTGTAAGAAGCCCTGTGGGAACAGACCCCACAGGAAGACAAAACTGAACCTAGGAGCAGGTGGTGTTCCTCATCTGCTTCACACACAGTCTGTAAGCATTGCAAAGTGCAGGCAGCCTTCTCCTTTAACTGGTAGGTGAGATCTCATTAGTCCTGGCAGCAGTCACCCTTATTAATCCATAGCCTCCATAAATCCATGGTTAGAAATTCTGGAGGCACCCCAAATTATTAGTCGTGATCCATGTACAGTCAATCTTGGGCCCCTACCTGGCTTAAGAGACACAGAAATAGAACCTTGGTTTTCTGGCAGTTTTTAAGGGTTCCCAGGAGCTCTCTGTCTTTGCTCTTGGTTCCCTCAGAGTTGTGCCTGCTTCTCATATGTCTTGGTAGATTTAATCAGCAGCAATGTCCACAGTGAGTCAGCAGAATTTGATTCCCTGATCTATGCAGGGTTTTTTCTACTTCTAATATGGTGTGTTAATAGAAGAGTCCTGCTCCCCTGAGGAGAGGGAGATCCTATCCTACTTGGGGCCTGATCCTGTGAAGAGTGAGCCTAGGGGAAAACTGTCTTGTTCTAGAAATGGGGGATGTGGTAACAGAAGCCCTCTCACCACTCTCACTATGGTGCACTGGAAGACTTAATCTCCTCAGGGCTGTTAGTTTGTTCTGTATTTGTATAGCACCTGGCCCACAATGAGAATCTGTTCTGGAACTGATGCCTCTATGTGCCACAACAATACAAATAAATTATAGTCATAATAATAAAAGAAACAAACACCCATTTTTCCCCAAGGAGACCTACTGAAGACATATGGGCAATGAGTGCTTTGAGTGCATGCTCTGCTTTCCCTGATTATCTTGGCTTTCCCTAGTCTGTTTACCATGGTCACTCTCCTTCAGTTACCAGTGCAGTAGACACCAGCCTCCCAAACCTGCCTTTCCACTTTGGGTGGGTACAGACGTTTGGGGGGAGTTGGCTTGAGCTAAAAATGGGCACTTGATCTAATTTAGTTGGCCCATGTGTGGACCTTACACTTAGATCCCTGGTTAGGTTGATCTGAATGCAAACTGTACAGAAATTCCAGGTAGGTCAGATTGGTTTAAAAATGGCTGACCTGGCTTAAGTTAACTATATTTCGGAGCTGCACTACATTAGTTTGGGTATGGTGAGACCAATCTAACTGAACTTCTGTGCACGTTTTGAGCCCAGCTGCAGGGTTGGGAAAGCTGAGCTGCTGGCCCCAGCCCAGGGGCTACACTTTTCCAACCCCCGCTGGCACCAGACTTTTAGCTCCTGGCCCTTTCCCCTACCCCCAGACAAATCAACCAGATCAGCCAGCACCTTCAAGCCCCCCAACCCCACCAGCTGTTTCCGGTGCCAGTTTTACTGGCTTTTGCTGGTGCCAGAAGCCAATCAAAGTAAGGCGGGGGGAGGGGTCAGGGAGAGTTGGTGTGCTGGGAAGGGGCGTTTTTTAACTAGGGATGGGGAGGAGATAGGGAGCTAAAAATAGCCCCTAGTCCCGGAGGGAGTGAGCCACGCCCCCATCCGTCCAACCTTTTTCTTCCACAAAACCGAAAGCCCTCCCAATTTACTTGTTCTTCCCCCTCACCCCAGCTTACTTCAGTTAGGCTCTTGGCACTGTGAAAGCTGGTAAAACTGGCTTTGGGACTGGTTTGTAGGATCAAAGGCAGTTTGGTGGCATCAGGGGGAGGAGGGGGTTGGGGGGTCTGGGAGAATTCGGCGGGTTTGGAGAGCCTCTCTGACTTTTTTTCCCTCCCCACCCCCCAAACCCTCTCTGGACCCTGCTA